TAAAACATCAATGCGTCTCGAAGGTTAAATTGGGAAAATGTAGTTCCACTAATGTATACGATGTGATGCATCTCAAGTTCCAATCGTGTCCACCGCCGGTCCTTAGTGAATATTAACTGAAGCAAAAATGTTTCATCAGAATCGGCGGGGGACCATGGGACTACAATACTGTGTCATTCATCGGAGCTTCATGTGAGACTCCAAAACCTGAAGAAACCTAATCAAAGCAAGAGTCTCAATTTCCCTAGATAGAGCACCATTTCAGTTCAGAGATCTATCATCCAATCATGGATCACAACAACTTATCTCTCCCTGCTCAACGTCAGTCACGGCAGTGAACCAAAAATATCTCTACATTCGACAATTACGAATACACATTACGGTAAATCGATGACATATACTGGGACCCAAAAAGGAAAGAGAAAGTGCGATCGACTAACGACTCCTACCCTCCCCTACCTTGAAGTAATGGCCCAAATCCCAGCGGGCCAACACCACGAACACGTGCACTATAAATACATATCCATAATCCATTTGGTCCATAGTCCACACCCTACTACTTCTTCAATGACATTCACAAGTCTACTTGTACTTAACACATGCGTAGGAAGAGGAGGAGAAGGAACGACAGACAGACAAACGGGGACTAGTAAATAGAGTCGAGAGGAAAGGGAAGATATTCATGAAATACAGTAAGTATGAGGAAGGAATGAAAAGAACAAGCGGTAGGAGGAAAGGCCAATAGAAAGAAATATTTTAGTTAGTTAGAGGAGGGAGGGAGAGAGAGGGAGAGATGATGATGACAGGGGACAACGATTATTTAAGAGAATTTCCATCTGTTTCCACAATTTACACATCTAAAATAGAAAGAAAGAAAGAATTAGTATTGGAATCGTTGAAGGGGTAAATTACTGTTAAGACGTACGTTACAAATGTCTGGGGGAGAAAGAAGAAGTAAAGTTAGATGAATAGGCCTGAATAGAGTGGCATAGAAGACATACCGTCATAGGCTCATCAGCACTACGCGTCTGTTGTTGACGGTAGCGCGTCTTACGCTGGAAAGAAAAAGCATCAGAATCACCACTCTAATTAACCCAAAAATCACCCTCACCTGCTTGCACCTCCCACACTGGAACGCATCCGTCTCAGCAGCCTGCTCCAACGACCCAAGCGTATTAAAGAAATTCGCCTCGGTGATCTTCTTATCCGCCGCCTTCCTCTCCTCCGACGCCAGATCCTTACTCGACATATTGACCAGCCTCGTCGCGCTGATCTCTCCACTCACAACGGCCTCGCGCAGCCCCGGGTTCGACTTATCCTTCAAATTGAGGAACAGCGAGCGCACTTTCGCGCGGTAGGGCGTCCCGGTGTCGTTTTTGTTCTGCGCGAGGACGGCTATCTCTACGGCTTTTGCGCTGGAGAGGATTTGGTCGATTGCTGGAGGGAGGGGACAGCATAATCGGTATATTTGTGCAAGACGTAGGGTAAGGACACTCACGAGCACCAGAGTCAGAGCACATGGCATTGTACAACATCACGATGCATTTATCGCGGATGCTGTCGCCTGTGATCGTACCGGAAACACCGTCTCCATCGGCGGTACGGGTTGAATTGGGAGATGTTACCGTGGGTGATTGGGCGGCTCCTACAGCGGCCTTCTTCGTAGCATCCACTTGTACTAAGGGTGCTATGAGCGATAGCACCGGATAAACAGAGGACACTCACATGAAGGCTTGCTCGTCGTCGGCTGCGGGGTGGATCCAGCACTGTTCGACCCGCTAGGTGTCACAGCCGCCGCTACTGGAGCACTCGTGCCCGCTGCCTTGTGCTTCGCGCGGTCGACCTCGCTCTTCCACTTCTTCACCAGCTCCTTTGCCAAGTCCGCAATCTCCTTCGTTTGGTGCGTCCGTAATTTGCCAACAGCAAGACCAGCTTTAGTTTCCTGATTGGGAATGATTGGTGAGAAAGCTAAATCATAATGTAATGGAGGAGGACGGCGTACCCTGAGCAGACTCTCTGTCGCGATGACGTTCTTCTTCAGCCAGATAAGACAGTCGATTATATCCTATAAAGCACGAGATAATGATAGATTAGACACGAAATATCTGACCAGGGACGCAGATGGATTACCTTTGTACTCGAGTTCTGCATGGCCTTTACACGGCTTTTAAGCTCTCCCACGTCAGTCATGTCGGGCAATATGTGCTAGATACAGTAATACTACAGCGTAGCTATGGCTAAGTGGCTGCTCTGCGCTCTCGTCGGCGACGTCAATGGCAATAGAACACGCGCAGGACCAAGGATTGGATCTCCGCGTCAAAACGCGCTTACGTCATTGACGCGCGACGGACGACGAGGACGACTGACAACTGACGACTGACTTGGCTATCGGATTCGTTGCGAGACGTGCCCGTACTTATGAACCATGCACAGTTCTCCCCATAATGCGAATAAGAAATCCCACCAGCCAGTACCCCACGATAACGTCTCTGCAGCTTCTAGAGCTCTGAATATCAATGATCCACCCCCATATTCGACGCTGATGAGGAACAAGGCCAGGTCCACCACCGAAATGAAGTCGCCCACGACGACAACAGCTGCTCTGCACGACGATCCCCGCACCGGTGTGTTTACGCCGTCCACTCCGCCCGTCGTCATTCCCTCGAATCTGCGCAGAGCGTCTTCGCATTCGCAATTGGACGGGAGGTCCTATGGGAACGGGCTCGAGACAGATGGATACAGCGAGGATGAGAACATCCTGTGGACCAGCCTGAATGGCGCAAGATCGCGCTTTGGCAGCTCGCCCACCAGTAGGCGCACGAAGCTGATATCCACGGGCTCCATCCGCGGCGCGGGCGAAACAGAAACAGAGCTAGATGAACCAGTATGTTATTTACAGAATTAACACGCCGTCTTCTGACATGCCCTCCTTTTAGCCTAAACACCTCCCTACGTCGCGCCGCGTCCCCACACCCCCTCCAATGACAGGTCCATCCCTCTTAACGCGTCTAACGCCACTACTCTTCCAAACATTCCGCCTTCTCTCTGTCGTCCCCGCCGTCTTCGGCGCACTCTACCATCTCTTCAAACTCCTCTCCCGACCTACCATCCCTTCCGAGCCCAGCCCCTCCTCTCCCCAATACATCCACCACCCAATCGACCACTTCATCTCCATCCTATGGGCCCTCCTCACCGCACACCAGTGCCTCCGCCTCACAACAGGTCTTTTAGTCCGCTGGAAAGCTTATTATCCTCCCTTAGCAACACACATCCGCCTCCTCGCCCTCCAAGCCATCTGCTGGCCCGCAACGCAATACACTTTAGTCTTATTTAATCACGCTAAACGCCCTGTCATATGCTGGGCGATTATTGGGAGTACGACCTCCATTAGTCGGAGTGTCCAAATTTGGGTGACGAGTAATTTGAATTTCTGGACGAGGGAGGGGTCGGGGTTGCGAGGGAGGGGCGCGAGTGATGCGGGGAGGGGAGGGGCGCCTATTGTGGGGGGACAGAGAAGGTGGGATTGGACGGAGGTGGGGGTCAAGTGCGCGTTGCCGATGGGGATTATGTATTTTATTATGGCGTGGGCGGAGGCGTTTAGAAGAGAGTGGGAGGGCTGTTAGATCCTTTCCTTTCGCTGATGGTTCAATTATTTTTTATTAGGGTTCTGAAGCCTTCCTCCGTTTCTTTTCATTTTTTTGTTATCGATTATTAGCTTTCTATGCAATCTCTCCGCATTTTCTTTCGCATTCTGATTGACACATCTCGCACTATAGTTACTATAAATCTCATGTATTATTATGTCAATAAACATATAAAGGTCGTTTTGCTTTTCGTAGACTTATTGCTGACACTCCAAGTTGGAGCTGCCAATGATGTACAAATTTCTCTCCTTCGATTTATAGTATGTACTACAGGAATCTTTCCTTTCCATTAAACATCCACCAATAGAGATCAAAAGACTATATTGTATACGTATTTAACTACGAGCTTTGGCCCATGACCACTGAACAATTAATATGTCCACGAGTATTGGTCCATTATTTTCTTGACCCGGAGGGCTGGAACTGACTCCACGTTCGGGCATACGCCGGCGAGATACTTATCTACTTATCAAATTAGGTTCTAAAATTGGGAATAATCCAGAATAATGCATCACAAGAGACGGCCAAGATGGCCAAGGCACCTTGGTGGAAGACTTACAATTATCATGTTACTATTAGCCTTTCCCCCACTGGTACTCGAAGTCACCATCGATTTTCTGCGATGTTCAGACAAATCTTCGGCATAGAATCGGGTATATAACAAATAAATGGAGGATAATTGGAGGATAATGTAAAATAAATTGTGCACGGCGCCAGGACAACTTTACAGCTCTTATACAAACTTTACTCGGCATTTTAACTCAGCTACTAGTAAGTTCTCTTCTAATATTAGACTTAGCCTCAAATGACCATATCCATTTCTAAGGCCTAATGAAAAAGATCCAATGATGCCTGGCTCGCTCATTCCAGTGAGGATTGATGAACGGTGCATACTGTAGTAATCCATTTGCCAGATGGTGATGGTGACCAAAGTAACAGTAGCTTGTATGACTCATGATCTACCAAATCTTTGGATCAGAATGTTGGCGACTGTTTTTTTAGGGAGGAGGAAAGACTTAGTCTGGAGCCACATGTATAAGATTGCAAAAGAAAGAAAAGAAGAAGGCAAATTAGGTCCAAATATAGACCTTTTGCTTTAGGATAATTATTTTTCTTATAAATTGTTTGTTTTCCCGAGTCAAGTGGTTTCCTAAGACCTTTTCCCATTTCCCGACTCTAAAGGAAAAAAGACTCTAACCCGAGCGAGGATCGAGCTCGCGACCAATGCATAGCAAGTGGAGGTAACCGAGCTACCGGGTCGGTAAAATCCCACGCTCGCGTCTCTTCGTGCCCTCGCCTCAATAAAGTGTTGCATTGCGCACCGCTGTTGTGGAAAAAAAAAGAGAAAAAAAGACCTAACCCGAGCGAGGATCGAACTCGCGACCAATGCATAGCAGATGGAGGTAACCCTATAAGTACAACGCTCTAACCAAACTGAGCTACCGGGTCGTAGAGCCTTACGCTCTGAGGTCCTCCGGGCAGGTACTGTTCGCCTTGTGGGCTGAAATGCAGTGAATTTATGGGGAACTTAAAGTCTGAGTGAATTATTTATCTATTTCGAACCCACACAATTGATATCATCTCACCGGTTTACTTTACAAGTGTCGGCGCAGCATAAGACACTAACCAGTGGCAGTGTTAGCCAGCGGTTGTTGTGTATTGCCGGTGCGTCTATCAGCCGCAGCAGCAGACGAAAGCAGGCGGAATAGGATGAGTAGCAGGTTTAACTTAGTTCCACTGATTGAAATTTGTAACCTCATAATGTTTTATAAGATATTGTGGAAGAAGTTCTCTTAATGGGCACTATTATTGATGTGATCTAGCAGTTTCCTTAACCCTGTGCGCTATTGGCAATCTTTGGCAATCCGCAGTTAAGGTATACATAACTAGTGGCACAATTCTACACACCTTACATTGTGTGGTATAAACTGCGGCGCATATAAGATGCTAACGCACCAGCATGTTTAATATCCTATCCATTTGCACTGGCGATCGTTGCCCCTTTCTCTGCCTTTAATGACCCCCAACCAAGCGTCTGATATACAGGGGACGAAAAGTAACATCCGTGTTAAGTAGGATCCGAACTGTGCCAAGGGAAGGTCAGACTTCTTGGGGTGTCTCCTGAGTCCATCATGACCTCGCTCGAGGCATCTGAGGTCAGCGGTGTCTTCCTCGGTGTATAATAAATGGAGTTAAAGGTATATGACCGCGATTCGAGAGTGATTATGCTCTGTGATATAATTACAAATCTTCTTACTCTTCAATAATTTATGTTGTAGTATGTAGTAGCCAGGTTCCCCTCCCGACGCCGATCTGTCCTCGTTCCCTCACCCTTTCTTTTCCCCCTGTATTGATAGGCTCGATATTGATGTATTGATACTGAGGTATTGACTCGCCTATTACCTTTGTTCTAGGTGGTACAGTCCCAAGATACTGGTACTGTGTCTTTGTCCTGCTCCTCCGGCTAGTAATCATTGAGATTTACATTTTCACAATGATCTAAGCTCCCTGATGCTTTAGTTTCAATCACAAAAATATTCGATTCACCGGTACTACAAATATCATACCGCAGAGTGTATGCCAGTACAATATGGCATCCAATTGAGTTGCTATTGCCATTGCTGTGCCACGGTGCACTATATATGTGTTGCCATCTCCCCGCTGCGATTGGATCTGTTAATGAGCTTAGCCGATCCAATGGCTCGCTTTCGCACTTCTTGCCTTGATGCAGTGGCTCGCGACAGACATCTGGTGGTCAATTAAAGCCTTGGTTATGGAGACACTTTGAAATCCGTGATGTCAGTTCCTGCCACTACACTGCGAGTTGGCATCAGAAAATATACTCGGTGTAGCGCTCTATATCATAGCCCAACAGAACCCAACTCACGAATGAAATTCAACTGCATGCGGGCCAACCAATTATCAAATTACTACAAGTATCTGCCATAGTCTCTGAGCTCCTTACGACGTGACCCCCGGGCTCGAAGTCCCAACCTACTCATCTCCTGCTGGCAGAGATGCATATGAACCTTACAGTTCCGCATGTCGAAATTACTCCAGAATACCTCGGGAGTCCAATCAGTGCAATCGCACTGACTATTAACCTCATAAGTGCCACTGGTTTGGGAGGCTTGCTTGCAACGATCGCTTTATCGTCTCAAGTCATGCGACATCCTCTTTATGTTAACTTGCTCATATCGAGTCTATTATTCGCAACCCTCAAGAGTTACAAGTGCGTATCCTCCCAGTCTCATTGAAATATTCACAATTTAACTCAAATTTCTTCAGCGGTCTTGTACTAATCGCTTGGATGTTTACGACTCACCAGAGAAGCCCAAAGCAAGAATCGAGCTCACTCTTCAACATGTACGAATCCACCGCGGAAAACATAATTTGGACCAGGTATGTCGTAGCTTCAGAGTCGTGGACGAAACATATTCTGACTTAACTCTACAGTATGCACCTTTCCACATTCGTTTTGGTGTTTTATGTATGGAAGTTTTACCACTGTCGGCGAACGGTCCTTGACTTCCAGAGCAGCTCAATCATATCTTCAAAGCCAGTAGTACAGAAGGAGTCGTTTCGGACCGGAAAGCAAAAGAGAATCGATGGATAGGTTTAGTAGGTACTCGCGGTAGCGTGCAAGGTTTTTATTGATTGTGTCAAAGCTCCTGCTGGTTCCATACCTAGGTAGTATCTTTCTGCTGGTGAGTTAACTGCTACAATAAACTCGTATTATTCATCTGGATGGTTCAGATAGGTCTGATACGCAGTGTCGATGGGAGAGTCGCGACTAGTATCATTGAATTGTTCATCATAGTTATAACCTTAGTTTTGGATGGTAAATCATTATTTATCCTTGGGATTCGAGAATCAATGGAATCTCAAATTACTCACAGTCATCCTCCTATATGCGTTCACAAAACGACGAAGAATATTTAAAAGAATATCCATCGGACTCGAAGTTCCCAACATAATATCCCTCGAACTACTCTTGAAGCTTTTAGCTTTCTGCGTCTATAGAATGATTTTCATAATGTGAGTCCTCATTGGTTTATGCGATGGGACACTTACGTTAACGTTTCTGTTATTGATTTTGTAGAATGGATATTATATCGTATCCGTATCCAACATTTGTGCTCCTCACTGCAATCGAAACAGCTCGGAGCGCTTGTATGTTTTCACAGAAGCTTTGATCGTCGATTTGAGTCTCAAATACTTTCAGATCCCCTCATCGCCTTTCTCATTTTTGGTCCGTTCTGTAAGGTAAGCATGGATTCAAGTTACCGCATCCAATACTTTAGTAAAACATCTTCGTAGGATATTCGGAAGGTTTGGTTCATGACCAAGTTACCAGAAGAATCGGATGACGAGCCGACAGAATGCGCAGAAGAAGGGATAGAGATAAGAGATTCAAGGAATGAGACTGGTTATGGTTTATCAGCGGTTTCAATAACATGGCAAGAGGATGCGAAAGGAGGACCGTCACGAGAGCCGAATCGAATTTGACTAGGTGTAGATAGAGCTTGATTTGGGTGCTTCTGTAACATAGACAATGATAACTTCAACTCAGAACCATGATCGCTAGAGGCCCAAATAAGGTATTCATTAAATCACACCACGACTGTCGATAAATTACAGGTATTCATAAAGCCTACTACTGCGATTGTTCAGCATAAATCTGCGGAAGAAGAGGATCAGCAAGTCGAGTCGATAACATCTGACAACAGTGAACACTCACTTTAATAGTCTTATCAGCTCCACCGGTGATAAGACGTGTTCCAGTTTGATCGAAAGTAGAGCAGAAAACGCCAGCTTCTGCCTCCAATGAACCTGGTTGAGGGATATCATCTAATGTTTGGAATGGTGTACCAGTGGCATAATCCCAGAATGTCAATGTTCCATTGTCACCTAAACGAAGTTCAGTAATGTGCGACGAAAGACTATTGAAGTACGATATACCTCCGGAGAAGAAGACACCTTCAGCGTTGACACTCAGGGTGTTGATGATAGCATTATGACCAGGGAAATTGAAGACGAATGCTCCTTCCGGGCACTTCCACTTCTTGATGTTATTACCACCGGCAGAACCAGAAGCAAAGCTATACTCGACGGGATGAACCGCAAGTGATCGCACAGACTTTTTGTGGTGTGTTAACTGAACCATAGTCTTGCCAGCCGCGAGATCCCATAGGCGAACTGTGCTATCCATACTTCCAGTGATAACTTGGGGATCGGATTCCTGGCATTTCACTGCCGCAACAGTAGCAGTATGTCCAGAAAGAACATGGATATTAGCCTTTGTTCGCATGTCCCAAACACGCGCGGATGCGTCACGTCCTGCGGTGACCAAAACATCGAGAGTGGGATGCAAGCTGAGGGAGTATACACCAGACAAATGTCCATGGTAATGACGGATAACCTTGTTGTTTTCAAGGTCCCAACATTTAACCATCTGCATGTATAGTATTAGCTTGAGATGAAGAAGAGGGCATCTAGTAACGAACCTTATCTTCACCACAACTGAACAAATATGGATGCCTGGACGAAACAGCCAACCCTCTGACTGTGCTGATATGACCAGTTAAACTTAATTTGAGTTCACCACTGGCCAGATCCCAAATCTTGATAACACGATCACCAGCACCTGTGGCGAACCACTTGTTTCCAGGCTCCACAGCGACTGAACGAACCCATCCCAAATGGCCTGAGATAACTCGTTTGAGAGCCCATTGAGGATGGAATTCGGGCTTGATGGTACGTGTAGTCTTGTGGCGGGTAAGAGCTTGTGAGAGTGCAGAAGCGGATGTCAAGGTAGATTGTTTTGGAGCGGCAGGGGCAGGGATAAGAGCCATATTGGGATCACCTGAAGATGCTATAAACCGTACAAATGAGCTAAATGGAGAGAAAATAGGCTTGATAGAACGCACGTCCAGCGGTAATGGCTTTCAAGTGCTTAGGGCGAGCTGGTCCAACTTGACCTTGTTGAGTAAGGAGGACCGGTGGGAGAGCTTGTGCATACTTGTACTCATCGCGGATTTTGACAGAAAGCTTTAATCGTGCACTGAAAGGATATACATCAATAATTTTCATATTATGTAGGAGAGGTGCTATATTACTTACCTTCTCTCATCGTCCTTCACGCCGTCCGTGGAGGAGGAAGCAAAGACATCCCGTGTCCTTTTTACGCTCGTTCGCAGTAAAGGTTCCAATGGTGGTAAGGTTGAGGTTGAAGCCATCGAGGAAGAGATATCCCAGCTATATAATATTGAAGCTGCAGGTAGGACTCGAACGAACCTTGTAACCGGAGTTCGATTTGGAGGCTGACGTAAGCTGGTAAACGGTGGCGACATATTTTGTTCCTCACTCAACTGTCACTCAATACTCGCAACAACATCCACTTCATCCTGAAGTGACATTGCCTCAAGCATAGTAAGAACTCTGATTAA